CATGTTCCCGGCCAAGGGTGGCTGCGGCTCCTGCTCCCTGCCAAAGCCCAGCAGCCAGCTGAGACCCCAGCTGCAACGGGGCTGCAAATCTCCCTCGGGTGCCCAGAGTTGAAAACATCCCATGGAAATAAACCCAAAGTCTCACCGCTGTGTTTCCCAGCCCCTCCGGGCTCGGACCAGAGGGACCATGGGGTCAGGCTTTTCGGCTCAGGCCCCTCTGTGGCCACAGCCCCTTGCACAGCACTGCGTGGTGCCAGCGCGCTTCCTGGCAGTGTGTCCGTCCATCATGGCCTGAGGAGGATGGGGCGAGATGCCGGCAGTTGGAAATATTTCATAAGTGGCAGAAACCCATAACGGGCAGATGGGGCCGATGGGGGAGAGTTACTTCACTTCTCCTGGGGCACTAGAGGCCGCCGGTCTTCCGGTGACGGGGCTGCAGCTTCTCCGGCAAAGATGGCTCGTGCCCGGGGCTCAGCTTCAGGGTGTGCTTTGCAGCAGCATTGCACGTGGCCACCTGCTTGCCTGTCCAGGCCACTGGGACTGTCACACAGCTGTGTCCTGTTGCATGATTCCCTTTGAGGCGACAGCAGGGACTGGAGACCCGGTCCTGGGCTTTGCAGATGCTGCTTCTTCCTGGTGCATTGGTGCTGTGACCCTTTATGGGTGCCTGAGTGGGCTGTCACCTCTGCGCCGGATCAGCAGCCGGCACGGAGGGCAGCACGGGGATGCTGTGAAGGTGTAGGCTGGTTGCCTGCCCCCAGGCTGGGGTGGAGCAGCTTTCCCCGGCACTGGCACAAACCTGTGTCACATCAGGCATGTAGGCTGGCTCGTTGGCTGGAGCCATGTCTACAGGGGAGATGCGTTCAGCTCCAGCATGTTCCCCTCCTGCCCTGCTCTTTCACAAGGCAGGCTTGGCTGACTCGTCTGGCTGGGGCTGAATTTCAGGCCTAGGGACCAGAGGGGCTGAGATGGAGAGAGCCCACAGGTTAAAAACTCTGGGTGACGGGCGGCACGTGGCAGCCTGCTCTGCTGCGGACACGTCTGCCCGCCCGCCTTCGCCACCTTGGCCAGGCGATGTTTTCTGGTGGCTTCCTCCTCCCCAGTAGCTCTGGGCAAACCCCAAGCAGGCTGAGCACGTGGGGCTCATTTCCCTCCCGCTTCCCTTGGTGCGACCTCCGGCCTCCAGACGTTTTGTGTGCGGTTTGTGCGGTCGCTGGTATCTCATCTCCCCATCAGTCGGAGAGCTGAGCAAAGATGAAGAAGATGTTTTCAACTGGGCTGACACATCTGCACCCGCCAAGTTCCTCTAATAACAGCCCTTAGTGATTTATGTCTCAATCGTGCAAAGCAGGTACGTTTTACCAGCGCACCTTGGAGCTGGGAAGGAGGGGATGGGTGTGCGTCCCCTCTCCGTGCCCATCCACTGCAGCCACTGAAGCATCGCTGGGGAGCCGAGCAGGGACATGTATTTTGGCTGCCAGCCATTGCCTTCCTGCAGGGTTAAGGTGGCTTGAGGGACGATCTCTGTGCCCCTTAAACCCTTTTACCCTCTGAGCTGGACTGCTTTGGATCATGTGTGCCCATGCTGGCAAAGTGCCCACGTGGGATTCGTGTTGGTGGTGCCTTTCCCAGGCCGTGCTGATGGGCACGCGTGTTTGGCGTGGCGTGGCAGGGAAGGGAAGGGGGGCACAGCCGGTCTGGTGCTGGCAGCGCTGCCGACTCACGCCTCCCTGCCTGCGCCGTGGTGCCAGCCCGCCTCTGGGCGAGCAGTCGGCTGGAGGAGTGTGGCTCAGCCTGCCGAGACCTGTCGGCGTGTCCCTGGGCGAAAAGGATCTCGCGCTGGTTCAGCAAATGCTCTGGCCCCGGGCAGATGGAGATGGTTGTGGTTTCCCCCTTTCCCCTCCCTTTCCCCTGGCAGAAGCCCATGGTTGGGGTGAGCTGTGCGTTGCTCACTGCGGTAGAGTTTCTCCCCTTGGCATCGCTTTCTGGCACGGAGATCCAAGGAGGGAGTGACTTGCCCGCAGCCGGCTCCTGAAAATGCAGCTACTTAGAGCATGAACGAGCAGCTTCACCTCCAGTCCTGCCCGGGGGAGCAGGGCAGCAGGTTTCAGGCTGTGTGCGAGTCTTACGCCAGCCCGTCAACATTGCTGCTGGAGGGCTGTATGGAGGAAGGGATGCTCTGGCAGTGCCTCAGGGTTGGATTTGCATTGGGTTTATCCCCAGGAAGGCTGTGGCTTGAATGCGTCCCCCCTGCCCCGGCTCTGGTTCCTGGCAGGGAACAGGCCAGGTAAATACAGCCCAGGCAGCTTCTCCCTCCGGGCATTTAGGAAGGGAAAACAGTGTTGCTGGTAAACCGGAGGCCGGAGTTCAGGTGGTTCTCTGGTTTTGCTGCTGGTCAGCTGGGTGATGCAGGCAGGTCCTTGCACCTGCCTGTGCCTCAGTTTCCCCACCTGCAAAGCCTTGGGATGGGCTTTGAGCCCCCGTGCTGGGACCAGGACGCCTCTCGCAGGATCAGTGCTGCTGCCGTGGCTCGTGGGAGGCGCTGGGAAGGGCTGCCCGGTGCAAGGTGGCTTTGGGGCTTGGCTGGTGGCATCAGCTCAGTTCTGCTGCTGCTCCCCAGCTGGTGTGGTGACACTGCCCTGGAGGGTCCCCAACCTGTCCACCTGAACTTGTCCCCAGCTCGGACTGCACATGAAGCCACTTTTCACCGCTCTGCTCCCTGCTCCAGCACAGCAGCTAGAAAACCTCTGTGACACCTCATCTTATGTGGGGCAGCTGGAAGGGATTTCATCTGCCCTTCGGCCACTGTCATCCCGCAGTTCCTCGTCCTTTCGGCTGACCTTCCCGCTCCTCTTCCTCCTCCTGCAGCCCCAGGCTGAGGCTGGATCCCAGCGATGGGAAGTGATAATGCTGATTGCAGATGAAGCCCCAGAACATTTGGGGCTGGGGCTGACCCTGTGTTATCTCTGGGTAGGATAAGACGCTGCAGGCAGGGAGCTGCCCCACTAGGACCAGGACTGTAACTGGTGCCAAAATGCCTCTTTGGGTACCAGTAGCTTTGGCTGTGTGCAGGCATCCCTGTGCTGGATGACAGGGCTGGATCATGTCTCCTTCCTGGAGCTCTGCAGGTGGTTTCATGTCCTTTCACCATGTGCAAACGGCAGTGTGCCATGGGCATCTGCACACAGTGGTGTCTGCAGCCTGGGATGTGTCTCGCTGCAATCTCCATGCTGGTCCTCTCGCCTGCTGGAGCGGCTGCATCTGGGATCGAGGTCTGGCTGGGAGAAGGGACTCACGTGGGAATGTCTGGGGCTGGGGCTGCCGGGCTGGTGTGGCATGGGATGTTCCAGGGGGGTTTGCTGTGCTGCAACCATGTGCTCTGCCAGATGGGACTTGTGTTCCCTCGGAAATGTGTGCCCCAGCCATGCTGGAGCGGCGTGGTGGAGGTGGCGTGGCCGAGGCAAACATGCTGTGGAGTGTAGCTGCTCACAGCTAACCCGGGTAGGTGCCCCTGGGTGCTACCCAGCACTCTCCAGCCCTGGAATAAGAAAGCGTGTTTGGAAATGCTCCAATATGAAGGTTTTGGGCCGCCCCCCCAGCCATGCTGGAGCGGCGTGGTGGAGGTGGCGTGGCCGAGGCAAACATGCTGTGGAGTGTAGCTGCTCACAGCTAACCCGGGTAGGTGCCCCTGGGTGCTACCCAGCACTCTCCAGCCCTGGAATAAGAAAGCGTGTTTGGAAATGCTCCAATATGAAGGTTTTGGGGTTACCAAGGAGAGGTGTGAATGTATGTGCGCACTCAGTGCCTTTACAGCACCCTGTAAAGATTAAATGGCAAGTTTTACCTGCTGGGAACGGGCTCTGCGTTGAACTTCATCGGCATAGCAGCTCCCCTGGTCCTGCTGCTGGAGGGTTGGTGTGTGTGGGTGATGCCACTGGGATGCTGTTGGGCGATGGATCTGGGCCAGGAGCTGTGCGGAGCACCGTGTCGGTGAAGCACATGTGCTGGGATGCAAACGTACGCGAAAGAGATCCCGGCTGTCTAAATAATGTGAAATATTGACTAGCTCTCGCAGATGGTGCTCCACGTGCAGCTTTGGGGACTGAACTTCTGTCTGCTGTTGGGTTTTGGTGTGATGTTGTTTTGATCCAGTTGAATGCTGGACTCCTGACAAACTCATTGCCTGGTTGCTTTCAATGGGATTGTTGAATTTTGGGGAGGTTTGTTACTAACGGGGTCGGAGGGGAAGGGAGGAGGGTTGCAGAGGGCTTGACTGGCTCCTTCAGACTCTCCCGATGCCTTTTAATCGGTTTTTAAATGATGGCACCAACTGGGAAGCTGGTTCTCGCAGAGCATTGGGGTTTGTAGTATTGCACGGGTGCCATTTGGTGGCAGTGTTGCAGAGGAATTGCTGCCTGTAGCCAGGAGCTTGGGTTATTACCACTATTATGGTGACTGTATTCACTAATGAAATGCTGCTGATGATTGTTTGCATGAGGATGTTGCTGGGGGGCCCACTCTTGGAGGAGGCCCCAGTGTCCAGGACATAATGCAGACCTCTGGCAGCTGGGCCTTGGGGACACTCTGCCTTTGTATCGGCTTGTGGGGAGGCAGCAGGTTTTCTCCTGTTTTGCCTTCCTCAGGGATAAGATAGTGGTTTTGGGTATGTGAAACTATGCTTTGTGTAAGCTGCTGTGGAGGATGCTCTCGCGCTTTCCCCAAAGTCCGTACCCGGTGTGGGACAGCTGCAGCGGGGACAGGCTGTGTTGGCAAAGCTGTGCTGGCAAGAGGGTCTTACGCCTGCTCGGGAAGTGTGTTGGGGAGTGCCCTCACCCACAGGTCGCTGTACTTGTGATAAAACAGCTTATCGGCCGGATGGTTTGGTCATTTAGCCTGCAGATTTAAGGCTGTGCTCAGAAAGCAGCACGCTCCATTTGCAGCCCACCAGCTGCAAAGTTAGAGCCCTGCAGGGGTGCAAGGGGTGAGCTGGGGGACCCGCCATGGGGGGTCAGTACCTGAAGCGGGGGCCCGAGCAGCACTCCCCACCGTGGGCTGTGTGCGTTGCCGCACGCGTCCTTGCAGCCGTTGCTCCTGGCGCGCGAGGGACCGACAGCCACAACAGTCTGTGCTCCTGTGGGGCTCGTTCCAAGGCGGCGTGCCGCTTGGGCTGAAACATGTTTCCCTCTTCTGTTTCCCATTTTCCGCAGGCTTTTCCCATCTGCCTAACGGGCTCTACCCGTCGTACATTCCCCTGAGCCACCTCGAGCCCCCCAGCGCTGGCAGTCCTCTCCTGGCCCAGCTGGGTCAGCACAGCCTCTTCGAGTCACAGAAAGGTGAGTTTGGGTCCCTGCGCACCCTTCCCCTCGGTCACCCCTAGGTGCTCGCCCTGTCCTTTGGGCTTGCTTGGCTGCTGGAGCTGCTGGATGCTGGGATGTTGAGGGTGAAGAGCAGGAACCCCCCCTGGGGTTATCATCCAGGGATATTTCCTGGTCTTAGCAGTACCAAGGTCTTGGATGTGGCTGTGCTGTAGGGAACCCGGCTCAGCGTGCATTGGAGACAGGGCTGTCCTCCATCCCACCTGGGCCACATGGAGGTACCTGCCTGGTCTCCTCTGCCCTGGTCCTTCCTGGCCATGTCTGAGATGTCTTTGAAACCTGTTCCCTCTCGGTTTGCCCCCTCTCGCCTGTCTCTGTGTAGGACTCAAGGGATTGGAGGCCTGTGGTAATTTTGTTTGCTTTTGCTCTGCAGATGGGTTCTACCTGTCCAGCCACGCGGGCCAGTCCGCTTTGCACCCACAGCCTCCCCTCTCGAGGACTGCGGGCAACCACACGTCGAGCACTTTGCTCCGGGAGAAGGACCTTGGGCAGCTGCACAAGAGCTCGAAAGAAAGCCTGAAAGACCCTGGAGGGAAGGAGCGGGCATGCCGGAGCGATCTGTCCCTGCCCTTTGCCAAGAAGGAGGGCAAGCCGAAGGAGGAGCCCCGGCCCCGCAGCGTGGTAGACCTCACGCAGGACACCAAGCCCGACAGCGACAGGAAAGTGAGTGTGGTGGAGAAGGCGGTGAAGGTTGGCGAGCGTCTCTCGCCGTTCCTGGCTGAGCACATGCCAAATCGGGGCGCAGGCGGTGGGGAACCCAAGTCCAAGAACCCACTGCAGAGCTCTTCCCTCAGCAACTGCAACGGCGGCGGGGACCCCATGCTGAAGGTCCTGGGTGCCGAGCAGGACCGCTGTGCCAAGGATCCCGCTCGGCACGATGAGAACATGAGGCCTTCTGCGCATGCCCACGCCGAGCGGCTGAAGCGGGGGGAGCCCCTCCTGCCCTCTGTGGGCGCTTTGCACATCTCCTGCAGCTGCCCGTCCCCGCACCCCTCGCAGCCGGGGAAGATGACGCCGGCCACGACATTCCCTCCGCAGCCCGTCCATTCCAGCATGTACACCATCTTTCCGCCGGCCAAGGAGCTGGGGAGGGAGCACAAAGTCATCGCCCCCACCTTTGTGCCTTCGGTCGAAGCCTATGACGAGAGGAGTGGGCCCATCCAAATCGCCTCACAGGCCCGCGACAACAAGGCGAAGGACAAGGACCTTGGCAAGGTGGGGGTGCTGCAGTCGCCCACTGAGCGGTGCCTTGCAGATGCCTCCCGCACGCTCTTGTCCCAGGACTTTTCTTGCCACAGCGATGCCAAAAGGATGGAGGCTCTGAGGGAGAAGGGCTCGGTGATCAGGGCGAACTCCATGGCGCTGAAGAGACAGGTCACTTCGGAGCCCTTCCTCAACCGGACGGGGCTGGGCTCTCCAGAGAGCAGGGAGTTCCTGGCCTCCAAGGACTTGCTGAAGCCGAGTCCGGAGGCAGAGCATCGCCCTTGTGAGCGGGACCGCTTCCAGCGATCCAGCTCCAAAGAAGCGGCGAAGGTCTATGGCACTTTGGACTCCTCCCGGCAGCACCTGGACCATGGTCAGCTGAAACCGCCCGAGCAGAAGTGGAAGCCCTTTGAGATGGGCAACTTTGCCACCACACAGATGGCGGTGCTGGCTGCGCAGCACAACCACGTCACCCGGGCGGAGGAGGAAGCCAAGAAGGTCTACCTTGACCCCAGTGGCTTGCCGCGGTCCTCGGTGGTGGGCTCGCGGGGTGCCGCGGACGTCCTCCATCCTGCCTCCCATGGTGAAGGGTCGGCCATGCAGAGCCTCATCAAGTACAGCGGCAGCTTTGCCAAGGAGACTGCGTCCCGGCAGAGCTGTGGCAAGAAGAGCCCCTTTGGCGGCTTGGGCAACATGAAGTTGGACTCTTCGCAGCTGGGTGCCTCCAAAGTGCAGCAGCTGCTGTCTCAGCAGCCAGCGAAGCAGCTGAAGAGGGACCCCGAGAGACCTGAGAGTGCCAAATCCTTTGGCCGTGAGAGCATCGGCTCCCAGGGCGAGGTGGAGGTGAGGCACTTGCCCGTTGGCATCGCCGTGGCCGTGGCCCGGCAGAAGGACAACAGCAGCAGCAGCAGCAGCAAACTGGGGCCCAGCTTGGCGGACCGGGATCGCTCGCTGTCTCTCAGCAGCATCAAAGGTAGGTTCCCCAGACCTGTCTTGGGACTTCCCTGTGGGATCTGTTGCCTGGGGAGAGCAGCAACGCAGTGCAGGCTGTGGCATAAGTTGAGTTCGGCATCCTCAGCTCTCTTTGCCTCCTGTTCCCAGCCAAGGGTACGTTGTAGACCACAGCAGGGAGCAGGACTCCCCATGCCATCCCCTCTGTACATGTGTTTGATCCCCGTTAGTGAAGGGGGTGACAGAGAACCCCCTTAATCCACCTTTGTGCTGGTGTTTTAATCTCATGGTTTTGATTTAAGTTATGGTGCTGGCAGGAGGGGGATGGCTCTGGTGAGTGTTTTGGTGCTCTGCTTGGCTTGTGTAGCAAGATAACACCTGGGGGCTGCCCAGCACGGGGAGAGCTTGGCTCTGGCATGCCAAGGAGCAGTGCCAAAGCGAGTCGCCGGCAAGCAATGATTGGGTTTCTATTTTTAGCCTTCGCTTTTCCCATTTTTCTGCCTTCGCCCCCCTCTCCCAAACCTCAGCGGCGAGAGCGGTTTCTCCCGGCCGGCAGCCCCTCTCCCTGTTCCTATCATCTCCTGTTGCCCTCCCCACGGCCGGGCGGGAGCCAACTGAGGACCTTGTGGGCAGCACAGGGAGCTGTTTGTTCAGCCATTCAATCGTCCCAGACCCTCCCAGCTTGCGTTAAATGTAATTTACTGAGCCGAACTAAAAGGCTGCAAACAAGGGTTGAATTCTGGCAGGCCTCCGGGCTCGTTGCTAAGTGATGCAGTTGGCTTTCAGACAGAAAACAAGACTGCTTTTCTCCTCCTCTCGCCCCCCAAATGCTGCCCCCCCTCTTTGTGTGCCAGGAGATATTCGTCTAATAACATTAGCTTGCTTGCGCTGAGTGGACGGTGCTTGAATGTTTAGACCTTTTAAGAAGGAGAAAGCAGGCTTTAGTTGGCTAATCTGTAGTATTTGGCAAGTAAAATGCAAGTATTTAGTGCTGGGCATTGGTTGTCAAGGAAACGGACCTAAGCCTTTCCTCCATGCATAACTGATTGAATTTTTCTATGTGGTCCGTGCGTCATGTTCATATATATAGACAAAATGATCATTCACTGTCCGGACAGTCATCGGTCTGTACAGAAAAGGGACCGTCCTGTCAGCGGAGTGGGGGCTAGGCGGGAATTAGATGAATAGGAAAGTGTGTGTGTTTGGATGGGGGATGAGAAAAAGATGATAAAGCCGTCTATAAATAACGGAGCGCAAGTAATGTAGATGGGAGAGGGAGGAGCGGAGGTAAAATAACAAAATGCGATGTTTCTAATAAAAGACTGCAGGGGGGGGTGTCAACTCACCTTGTGCCAAGGAGGGGAGGGAGGCTGTGAGTTAATGAAGGGCTTGCTCCATATTGCCAACACTGAAGAGGCAGTTGGGCATCTATTGGGGAAAATAAATAGGGAAAGGGGCTCCAAGGTGGGAAAACCTGGGCTAGGGAGTGGAAGGGGATTTGTGTGTGAGTGGGGATGCTGGCAGAGAGGCAGGGAGGGGTGCAGGGGCTCCGGTGGGATTTGCGAGCCCCGGTGCCTTGTGCCACGGAGGCTGGGTAGTAAAACTGAGCAACAGAGGCTGCATAGGGCATCATTCAGTGAGTCAAGGAGGGGCTGGTTGGGGACAGCCACTGCATACAGTGTCCTGGCAGGCTGCAAGGGAAATGTGGTGACCCTGGAAAGTCCTTTGGGAGGGAGAGGTGTGCACCAGGTTTTAAAGCATCTTTGCTTTCTGCCTGAAGCCTGTGGAAGGAACCTTGGGGAGAGGAGCCGGGAGAGATGTTGTCTTATTCCTGGATTCCTTCTGACAGTAAAGGCTGAGGGAATTGGAGACTTGACAGCAAAAAAACCACGGGCTGTCCAGGTTTGTGGAAATACACAGCAGAGCCCTCCTTGAAAAGACTGCCTGTCAGCAGAATAGACTTGATGTTCTGAGATGCTTTCCCATGTGCCGAACCTTATCCAGACGGGAGAGTGAGGACCCTGGAGGGGGCTGCAGGGAGCCAGGGTGCAGCCGTGCGAGGCCGTGTTGTGCCGCTGAGCCCTGCGAGGTGCAGAGCATCGCCCAGGCAGGAGATGTGCTGGCAGCGTGCACCGAGAGCTGGGAGGAAGCATACACCTTCCCCCCGGCACCAACAGACTGGCCAGCAGCTTGCTGCAAGCAGCTCTGGGATTTAGGAGTGGGTCGTTTCACCAAAGCATAACATGGACAAGGGCAACAGGGAATTAGGGAAAAAATGCATATGCAAGAAAGAAGTTAGGGAAGAAACTAGGGAAAAGCAAACCTAAAATCAGGCAGCTGGGGTGAAGACCTTGGATAAAATAAGGGAAGGGTGGCCCCAATACCTGGTCCTGGCAGGGCCAGCGAGGAGCTGTTCGCTCCTGTGAAGGTGCTTCCTCACCTCTCACAGACGCGGCTGCTACCGTGCCAGGCTGTATTTGCAAGAGCTGTTCTGATTCTGGATGAGCCATTTTTCAAGCCAAACATCCAGCCCCCCTTTTTGGACTCTTGCCCTCATCTGCCATATGTGCCCCTGCCTCGCCAGACCCTTTCTTGTTGCATGGCTCATGGGGGGATGCAGGTTCCTGCTAACCGGTTGAATTACAGAGCAGAGCATGCTGGTTTTGTGAGGGTCCGTAGTGTTGGTTCTGCTTGTTGCAGAAAGACAGGGCTTCAGCGCCTACCCACTGCTCCCAGACTGGTTTACAAGAGCAGAAGGTGCTTCAGAAGGTGCAGAGATAAAATCCCCCCCCGCGAGATGTGTTAAGCAGGACTGTGTGATATGATGCAGGGATTTAGCTGGGCCTTGTCTCCTTCTGAGATGGGAAATCTGCCACTGGCCTTCAGCAAAAATGGTCTTGTTGGTCCTGCTGCTCCCAGGCTGGTGGCTGTCCTGTCCTGGGAGACCAGCATGACCTGGTGAGTGGGTCCCTTGGCTTGAAGACACGGACCTCAAACCACATGCAGCTGGGTGCTACCAGGAGCTGCCTTAGTGAGAATATCTTGATCACATAGACAGCCTTGCCCTGTCCTTTAGGGCTTGAACCTGATACAGTCTTGGGGACAGTGGCATTTGGGTGTGCTGGCTCCCTCGGTACTGCCTCTCCATGCCCAGAGGAGAGGGGACAGCTTTCCCCAGACTGTTTCTCGTGTCTGATGGTGCTGGGTTGTCTCTTAGGGCATGGACGCTCGGAAGATGATTGCGGGGATGAGAGGAGCCGCCACCGGGACAGCCACCTCCTGGCAGGGCGCTTGGAGCGGGATCAGGAGAAGCTGCTCAGGTAGAGAGTTGGAGGGGGACGGGGTCTCTTGCCAAGTGCCACAAGCCATGCCTGGGGACAGCCTGTCTGGAGGAAGGACAGGGTTGCATCCATCCTGGTGGAGCTGCTGGCACCAGCCTTGCTGGTGCAGAGAGGAGTGCTGAGTGGGGCACCTTGGGGTTATGGGCAGATCCTGAATCCGCAGCAGAGCAGTCCTAACAGACTGCTGCAAATCCATGCCTGCTCCAAAGAGATGGAGAGATGGGGTGTTTTATTCTGGATGTGATGTTAACCACCTCCATCACAGCTCTCCTTGAGCGTCTGACCCTAGTTTGCAAACACACTCGCTCGGCAGACTGGTCTATACCCTTGGGCTCCTCCAGCCGCGCAGTAACCTGCAGCACTCGGACCCTCTCTCACTCTCTCTCTTGCCTCCCCCATGACCAGAGAGAGCAAGGAGCTGGCAGATTTTGCCCGGATACACCCGTCTGGCTGCGCCACGAATGGTTTGAACTCCAACCTCATGGTGACGGGAGGCCCAGCCTTGACGGGCTCCGGGCGCTGGTCTGCAGACCCGGCTTCGCACTTGGCAGCCCACCCCTGGCTCCCCAGGACAGGGAGCCCGTCCATGTGGCTGGCCGGCCATCCCTATGGTGAGTGCCTTGGGAGGGAGCGATGTGTCCATGGGGTGTTCACACTGATGCAATCCAAGGAGAGGTGTTACTGAGTGCCCAGTGAGGCTGCTGTCTGATCACACGGGGAAGGGAAGGAGGTATTTTGGAGTAATCAAATGATAGATGGCTTCTTGCGTGGGTAGGAGCTGCCTGCACCCCCTGAGTTGTGACTGTGGTGTTTCTTTTTCCAGGACTCGGTCACCCTTCCCTGCACCAGGGCATGACTCCAGGCTTCCCCCCTGCCATGGGGGGAGCTCTCCCTTCCGCCTACCAGTTTGCCAGAGACCCGCAATCGGGGCAGCTTGTTGTGATCCCCAGTGAGCACTTGCCACACTTCGGTAAGGATATGAGCGCGTCCTTGAGGACCATGCTTTGACAGCTGTGGAGGAAGCAGGCTTTGGAGAGGGCTAGATAGGAGCGTACGTACCCATGGGGACCAGCCGCCACAGCTCTAGGGTGGGTGTGAGTTGGCCTCTTAGGTTTGTTTCAGAGATGGAAATGCGTAATCTTCAGCAGTGGCTCCTCATCCCCTGCAGGATCCCGAAGGCTTTGGGTCCTTGGTTAGGAGAAACTACTCGTGCGCTCAGCCAGGGACAGCCAAAGCAAGGGTGGGTAGAGAGCAAAGCAAGTCAGATGGCCCCAGGACCCATAGGGTGGTGGGAGTGGGGCTGCCAAGGGAAAGACAGCACCCTTTCCCCTCTGCATTTCTGGTTGCATTTCTGCATAGCCTGATGTTTGGCATCCCCCACACCCTGGGACTGGGGTAGAGACAGTTGTCCTGCGTGATCCTGAATCCTCTAGCCATCCCATCCTCCTGCCTCCCTGACTGCATCTCTGCTCATTCCCCAGCGGAGCTGATGGACCGGGCGCCCCCACTGTGGCCCGCTATGTACCCCCCAACCAGGAGCTCCCTCCAGCATGCTCACCAGCTCCAGCTCCTCTCCCATCAGCAGCTGCTGCGGCAGCATGAGCTCTACATTCTGCAGCAGCAAGCGGCCCATGCCATGGAGCTACAGAGGAGCGCCCAGCTCGTGGTACGTTTTCAGGAGTTTCTTGCTTGGACACGAGACAATCCTGAAGTTGGGGTGTCTGGGGGGAAAAAGCAGCTGTGCCGGTGTTGCAAGTGTGTCTCAAGGGTATGGATGCATTGAGCGATCCTGCCCTGGCCCCTGGGGTATGAGGCATTCAGTGCATCCTGCACAGTTGGGGTGGGTTTTGGAGGGGTTTGGTGTAGAGCTGTTGAGCAGCGTTGTCAGAAGAGCTGTCCAACAGTAGTATGACCGTGATTCCTTCCCTAGGGATGTCTATGTTTAGTTGAGTGGTTTCATCCCTGGTCACCTCCAAACAAACCTGAGTGGCTCAGAGAAGCAGCTGCAATATTGGCAGCAATCACACTGGGTCCTGGACCCAGCTTCCATTCACCAAATGAATTTGGAAGTCGTGAGCTTTCCTTTGGGTGTTTTACACCCATTTAATTTTTATAGTGGTCATCTGGTTTTCAGCCTTCATTTTACGTGTGTGCTTGCTAGGCTGGAGACACAGAAATGATTTGCTTTGGTTGCAATTGAAAGTTGAGACACCCTTCACATGACTTCTGGAGCTGGGACTTTGTAAAGAAAGCTATCACAGATCAGTGTCACCCTCCATCAGATTGGGCTTAAAATGGTGTTGCACTGAGGAATGTGTGTTTTGTTCTGGTCCGTGTTTGATAAGACCATGTTTTGGTCTCGTTTGGTGGTAGATCTGTGCTTTCCAGGAGCAGGTAGAGATGTGCTGAGTTTTGCTTTGTTCTTGTCGCAGGAGAGGTTGAAGGCGAACGAGCAGCGTGCAGATATGGAAGAGAAGGTGACGAAGCGGAGCCTGGACAGTGCCAAATCTGGCCTTTCCTCCTCTGCCCCAGGACTGGTGCACCGAAAACCACCTGTGCTGTCTCCCAGCGCCTCCACGTCCTACAGCAAGGCTGTGAGTCCACCTCCCCTCTCTCCCAGGGCCTCACCCGTGTCTGTGCTCAAAGCTGAGGTGATCCAAAAGATGGAGGAGCCACCTTCGCAGCCAGCCTACTCCTACCCCGCCACCCCCAGCTCTCATCCTTCCAGCCCACCCCCTGCCTCTCCACCCCCTGCCCCTGCCATCCCTCCAAAGGAAGAGGTGCCCGAGACCGTGGAGAAGAAAGACCTGGAGCTGGAAAAAGAGGCTGCTGGTCCATACCAGGCCTTGTTCCCAGGTAAGAGAGCCCTGCTTTGGCAGAGTCCCGTTGTGTTTGTGCCTGCCTCCCTTTTTCTCCTTGGCTCTTTCCTGCTTCCATCCCTTCCCCTAGAGAAAACCACGTAACTCCTCTACAAGGCAGGGGAGAGGCAAGGACCAGGGGTGGTGTGATGGACTTGGATTGATGCCTGGGTCTTAGGGGCACCTGGGGCTGTAGGCTATCTTCTTCCCTTGGGTCAAGCCTGGGTTGGTTCCTCCAGGGCTGAAGTCTCAGTGGGAGGAGGATGCAGGAGGCAGATCTCTCTCCAGTTGCAGGAGAGTGCTGGGAAGGTGCAGAAGGGACCTCTGGGGTGCTGATGCCTGTGGCAGCTTGACGAGGAGAGAGGTGCCTAAAGCAGCCACTGCTTGAGAATAGGAAGAGATGAGAGATGAAGGGAACCCATCTCTATGCTTTAGTGAGAGAGGTGCTTTGGAGACCCAGCCATTACACAGCCTGTCCCTTCTGATGTCTTGCAGAGATCCCCCCAGGATATCCATTCCAGTCCCTGCCTCCCTCTTTTGGAAGACACTATCCCTACCTCCTCCAGCCTACCGCAGCATCTGATGCGGATGGCCTGGCTCCTGACGTCCCGCTGCCTGCTGAAGGTTCTGAGCACATGGAGCTTTCCCCAGAGGTCAAGCCCATCCACCTGTCTCCGTCCAAAATCCTAGAGCCCATCCAAGCAGCAGCAGAAGAGGAGTCCTTGGAAGAGAGGGTGAAATCAGAGGTGCAGATGGAGGAAAGCCAAGAAGGCATCTGTGAGCAGGACATGGGGACTCTGAACATCACCACCTCTGCAGCCGTCCCAGTGCAGAATGTGGACAATTGCAATCTCCTGTTGCATCAAGGTGAAGCCCTGGGTGCTATGGAGCAGGACCAGGAAGACCTCCAGAGCTGCCCACCTCCTTACCAGGTTGTGGCCTGCCCTGCAGAAGCAGAGGCTCAGGCAGAGACTGGGAGTGGAGCAGAAACCTGCTCTGTGCACATGGACTATGATGGTTCGCTCGTGCATGCGGAGAACGAGCCGCCTGCGATGGACTTAACGCCCCAGCGGGAGGAGGCCTCTGTAGCCATGGATCTGCAGAGCGCTGATGTGCCCCGGGGGAGGGAGTTTCCCAGCCTGCCCCCTGAGGAGGGGGAGCAGGGGCCAGAGATCCCTTCCTACACGGAGGAGGCAATCTCTTGCCAAATCCCAGCTCTGGACATCAAGCCGGGCGACCCGCTGGCTGGGATGAATGCTTTGGTGGCTGCCACAGAAATGCCTCAGGCTTGTTCCTTGTTGACTACCACCAGCGTCACTCCATCCCAGATGAAGGTGGAGGTGTTACCTGACCAGGCCTTGGAGCACTCCTTCCTGCAAGGGATCACTTTGCTGAGTGAAATTGCAGAGATGGAGCTGGAGAAGAGGAAGCAAGAAATACAAAGTAAGTTGTGAGTGCAGAGTCTGGTCAGCCTTGGGCCAGGTTGGGTCTCCCTCTCTGCGGGCAGAGGAGCAGAGGCACAGGTGGGATCTCTTGCAACCTCAGCCAGGCATCAAGGAGAGCATTGCCCTGAGTTGCAGGAGCGGCTAGTACTTTGGATGGAGTAGGAGCAGGGTTTTTGTTGCAGTAGGCTGAGCTACGTGTGGCCTTTGTACTGCTCTCCCCTTCCAAAGGACCTCGCTGTGTCTAGACAGTTTGTGGTATGTGTAGCGGAAACAGAGCCCCACTTGCCGAGAGCTGCCAGGGTAACACCCTTCTGGCAGGCACTGAGTCTACAGTCTGTCGGGGTTTGGCACAGGAGGCCCCAGTAGCTCCAGATGATGCTTTCCAAGAGCTTGGCAGGTCCTGAAAAGATCTCACCTTCCAGTAACTTCCTGAGGCGAGACGTGATGGGAACTGCTCGTTGCAACCATCGCTGGGCACAACAGGAGATCTCAAGTGGGGGCCAAGGGTGGCTGGAAGGCTCCTTGAGCTGCCATGGTCCGGAAAGGGACATCAGCCTCTCCTTGTGCCTGCTGGAGGAGCGGTCTTGGAGAGTGAACCGCTATAGCTTTTTTTTCTGTCCTCAGCAGGTCCAGAGAGTTTCCCTGTCCGGCCAACGCTGGAGAGTTTGCTGGCTGCCAGCACCCACATGCTCATGGAAGTACTTTCCACCCCCTTTATGGAAAGTCTGAAAACCATCCGGCTGCCTCGAGAGCTGAATCCCAACAAAAAGTACAGCTGGATGCAGAAGAAAGATGAACCCGTAAGTAGTTCTTACTGTGGCTGAGCCTGAAAAGCCATGGTGCATCCACTCACCGCAGCTTGCTCTTCCAGCCACAGTTTGCCACCCGGCTTGTGTTGCCCTTCTGTAGTCAGCAAAGCGAGCCGGTGCTTCCCTCACGTTGCGTTCGTAGCTGCTCAGGAGTCAGTGTGGTGTGATTTAGCTTCCTCCCTGGTTTGTGAATCAACACCATTGATCTCAGCAGGACCCTCGGCAGCCCTAGGAGCGGTGTCTGTAATACAAAGCCAGCAGGAACTCGTATGTTACTGCTTTGGCAGGGGGGGATAAATAAAGATAGTGGCAGGAGGGTTTTTCCTTGTTTTTTCTTTGCTGAGTCTTCCCCATGGGAGAGACTGACAAATTATTTTGTACCCAGCAAGTAAGTGTTCCAAGACAGGGAATATTTTGATCTGTCTTTTTAAGTAAGGGAAGAGACTCCATAGGTGTATTTTATGCTGCAGGTTCTTTCCCAGGGTTGCTGTCCGTCAAAGCTGATACCATCCCATGCATAAGCCACGGAACATCTTTGCTTGGCTGGTTTTGCTCGGGTACCGCTCTAGGGCTGTGCTTGTTGTGGGTGAGGGTGCTCTGCTCCACCGTAAGCGTGGAGGGCTTCCCTGCCAGGCTGCAGATCTTGGCCATTGCAAGAGCACCCCAGTGTGCACCACCCTCGTCTAGGTGGGGGCCTGGACGTGTCCTGACCTTCTTGCCCCCTCTTGCTTCCCCACCCCAGATGTACTCCATCAAATCGGCCATCGAGAACATGGATGCAATGGAGTTGGACTACAGGATGAGGCTGGCGGAGCTGCAGCGCCGGTACAAGGAGAAGCAGCGGGAGCTGGTGAAGCTGCAGCGCCGCAGGGACTCCGAGTAAGTCACAGGCTGCTCACTCGGTCTGTTTTTTTCCAGCTGGGCACTTTCACTGCCTCTCGGTCTGGGAGAGAAAACAGCCGTCCATCCCTCCCTGTCTCCTCTCCTCTCCTCCTGGTATGGTCCGCCAGAGCTTTGCACAACACAATCCTAGGCTATGTGACATGACAACCTGATCACTGGTGAATGCAGCTGGGAGACCGTATTAGAGACAACCTTGGCTTCAGCAGCTCAGTTTAGCAGTTTGGTGACAGGCGAAGGTTCTGGGTTGACTCCCGTTCTTGCTTGCTTTCTTTTAATTTTTTTCCCTTTTTCTTCTTTTTTGGATTTATTTGCTTTATCTTTTTTTTCCTGTTTGTTTTGCTTTTTGGTTGCAAAATTTGATTTTGCCTTTTTTTTCTTTGCTTTTTTTTTTTTGTTGCCTTGGTTAACAGTGAAGCGTGTGGTTTTTTTAAAGGGAAAAGCATGACGAGAAAAGTAGAAGCTTGGCGAGAAGAGGCCCTGGAAGGCCCAGGAAGAGGAAACTTGGATCAAGCGCTCTGTCACCCATTAAGGAGAGAGGGAAGAGTGACAGCAAGAGTGGAAAGTAAGGCTGGAATTTGGGGAAGATGGGAAAATGTCAGGGTCGCTGCACCAGGGTCTTATTGGGGAGAGCATCTGAGATGCAGTGGGGGCTCGCTGTGGCATTGTGTTGGCAGGCTGGTCTCTGGCAGCAGTGGTGTTGTGGAAGCGTGTGCATTTAACGTGAGTGTGTCCTTGCGGTGGGAATATGGTGCCAGCCTCCTCCCTCCCCGCTGGTAGAGCACGTGTCTGTGGTGTTGCGTGCAAGTAGGACAGGCTGAGTTGAGCGGCGGTGAGGTGATGCGGAGCAGCTGGCTGGGCAGGGACCTGTAGGCGAGCTCTTGATGTCGGGGACCGCGTCCTCATGTGTTTTCAGGAGAGTGGACTGTGCAAGCGGGTGCTGTAGAGCTAATTGATGCTGATGTCAAAAACTGGAAGGACAGGACTGTTCGAGGTGATCTACTTCATAGGGCCTTTCTGCTGCGTTTCTGCTGTCTTCATCTCCTGTTCCCTTAATCAGTGGGAGCTGGTTTCACCTGACCTCTCTCTTTGAAGTGTCTGGATTATTCTGTCTTCTGCTTTCTTCTCTTTTTCAAGTCCAGCTGCTCTTGTTTGGATGCCTGGATCTCACCACCGTTGGCCATCTAAACATCCGTAGATGGTCAAGTCCCTCCAATGGGAAGGCACCTCTGAGCTGTCTCCCTGCGTGCTATGTATTTTTCAAGACTATAAATCAGATGCAGGTGCCCAGCTCCCACTGACCATGTGTTTCTGAAAATCTGTCCTCTTGGTGCCTTTGTGTTTTGCTCCTCTTGTTTGGATGGCTGGACAGGCTGGAGGCATCCAGAGGTGGCTGGAGTTGTGCATGTGTGCGTGCATGATTGTGTTGCGTGTGCATGCTTGAGCAACCTGGTGTGGGAGATGGAGGCGCACCCTCAGCCAGTGTCCAGGGCTTGAGGTGTTGGTTTAGCTGTCTGTGGAGGTCAGCAGAGCGGCCGGAGGGGACGGAAAATGCCTGGAAGCTGATGAGGCTGCCCCGTGTCAGTGGTTTTGTGGTGGTGGTATGACCTGGGCCAGCAGGCTTAGTGTGAAGGAGGCGGCATATGAGAGCTTTTAATGGAGGCTTGGTAGAGGTCTTGAGATGTTGACCGATCATCCATCAGATAGTTACTGGAGACAGCTGGGGAAAAGTGAAAGATGTGCTTATAGTCTCACCTACTTTATTTTTTTGTTTTTTTAATCATTTATTTACCCTCTCCTTTCCCCCCAAATCCTGAAGCGAGACTGAAGATGCAGATCGCAAATGCCTCTCGCAGAGGGGCTGGGCTTGTAAAGTGGATTGCCTGTCCTTTGAGCGAGCCAGTCCCTGCAGTGCCCTTGTGCCTCTGTGCCACCCTGCATGGCAGTTCCTTACCCACCTTCTTGCTCATACCCAAGCAACCAGAGCAAGTGTCTGAGCAGTGAGGCACCTCCCTGGGCCTCGGGAATCTCTCTCTGCACCTACAGAGTCCATGACAGTAGAGGTGGGAAAAGATCTACAGGGCCAGCTCAGCTGTCTATCCTTCCCTCTGCTGCTCTGTACCAAATCAGGCACTTTTTGGTGGCTGTTACTCAAGACGCTAAATACTTCCTTTGAGAGACCACCTTTCAGGTCTCTGATTTCAGGCACCCTCATCTGTGCTGATGGCCAAGAGTGTGCAAGAAGGGCTCCTTGGCTCTCCTGCTTGGTAGAAAACCTTGTCCAAACTGCTGTCTCTTCATAGTGGACTTGGCTCCCATTGAGGATCCCCACTGTCCTAGGAGGCATTTAACCTCACTTTTGTTCTTGGTGGGGATCACAGGGAGGAAGGCCCCCCCACCTTGACCCACCCTGTGCTTGGCTTGCAGACTGAGCAAGTCCTTGTTGCTCTCCGAAGACTCTGAGACTGGCGAGGGCATGAAGAAGAGGCACAAAGGGGCCCTCCCGGAGGAGGACGAGGATGTGGAGAGCGGCAGTAGCAAGATGAAAGGGAGGAACCAGAGCTGGGAAGAGCATGATGCGGCTCCCAGCTTCTCAAACGAGGTCAGTGCCCTCATGGGGAACATGGAGCCACGGGCCAAAAGCAGATCTCTTTCCTGGTTTGCTAGTGTTGGCTTGCACTGGATAACTCCTCCTGATCTTAGAGCGTCTGCTCTCAGTTCACGTGGGTTTAGAAGCTCTTCATGAGAGGGCTGTCTTTGCAGTGGAGGGGTGTTTGCGAAGGCTAATGTTGGCCTGTGGAGGTTGGACCTCTTTGGTAGGCAGCAGAGAGGCAAGTGCCTTCGAGTGAGCCAGAACATTGCAATATTGCACTAGCTCTGAATCTAGAGCAGTGTTGTCATACCCCTTCGCCTGTCGAGATAGTGGAGGGGAACAGACTTCCCAAAGTGAGGGGGGAAAGGGAGCGCAACCTTGCTATTTTAAATGGAGGGTTTTCTTCTGCTCCTGTTGAGGCAATGAAATACTTACTGGAGCTTTAAGCTGCTGATGAAATCCAAAAAGCATACAGGCGAAGTACTGAGTTACAGCTGCTGTTATCTAGCTGTAACACATGTAAAGTATATTTACTTTTTTTGAGAAGCAAGAAAATACTGAAAAGGGTGTAACAGCCCTGGCTGTAATGCAGTAGTGCTGATGCTCTTGCTGGTATTTGGGTCTTTTTGGCATCCCAGCCTCTGGAGCTGCTTGATTATGTGGAAATCCATATTTATTTGGCTGGGGTTTTGGATAAAGAAGATTTTTAATCCTCATGATTTAGAGAAAAGCTTGTAAAACCAACTCGAACATATCCTAAAAAAACAGGTGTTGAGAAAGAAGAACTCCAAAACATGTTGTTCTATGAACATATTTCTTTTGGAAGAAAATTCAATTTTTCTCAGTTAATCTTGTGATTTTGTAGTGCTCGATAAGGGTAAAGCTGTGCTGTTTGCTGACATCTTCCTCTTCTTCCTCCCTAGCACCATGGTGGGTTATGGCAACTGGGTCTTAAAACGGTCATTCTGAGGCCTTATTAACTAGCATGCATGAGAGACTGTTATGAGGACTATTAAAATCCCCTAGGTCTGCCATGATATCTGCTCTGTATTCACCTGTGTCTCTTCCTTTCACCTTGGCAGTTAAAGCTCAAGAAGAAGAAGGTACCATCGGATCAGGAGCAGCTGGCCAGCAAGCTTGACAAGGCCCTGTCACTCACCAAACAAGACAAGCTCAAATCCCCTTTCAAGTTTGCTGACAGCTCTGGGGGAAAGCTGAAAACTAGTGGAGGTGGCAGCAGGTACCTCCCACCCCACGAGGCTCTGCCAAGCAAGGAGGAGAAGAAGAGCCTGGCCAAGAACCTGGGCCTGTCACTGAAAACCACCAAGGAAGGTAAAAACAAAGTGGCTGCCAAAATGAAGAAGATGGAGGTGGGGTTAAAAGTCAAAAATCAGCTCAAGGTTTCTCATTCACCAGCAATATCTGAAGTTAGCAGCTACTCGTATAGTAAGTAACCCCTCATTTATCTCTCATTTATCTTTTCTTATGGTGTAATTTGTTGTGGGGGCTTGTGGTGGAGGTTTCTGGCCTCTTGGGAGGGGTCTTTTTTTGGGTCTGGTTTTGCTCATGAGTGAAAGGTGACCTCTTCCCTGGCTAATCAATGCTGCTGTGTCTTTGGGGTGAGCATGAGTTGTCCACCCAACTTGCCATCCAAGAGGTAGCCAGCATCAGCGTGTCTCTTCCTGGCATGTGTTGTACCAATTGTCAGTGGGGAAAAATGCTTTAAAAAAGAAGTTGACCCACATCCTTGCTTTTGGTGGGAATAGACACTCTCCATCTACCTGTCAGATGAGGACTCATAGCCTCTGCTCCAGGAGGTGGTTACTGGTTGACTTTCAAGGTCCTTGGTGAGTCAGGTAGGAATGGTCTTAGGATTATGCCATGGAGGCATTTGGAGAAGGTGAAGGCTGCCAGGGGACACTGATGTTCGTGAGCATCCTCCTGCCCTTCAGTGTTGTGGCTTGGTTCCTGGCTGACTGTGCTCAGCCTTCCCATCTGTCTCAGCAGTGTTCATATCCACCCTGGCATCCTGTGTACTGATTGCCATTTCTGAACCCAAAGTGCACCCGAGGCAAAGGCTCCTGCAACCTAGTGGAGCTAGGAACCCCTGTTACAGCAGGAAAAAGCTGAATTGCCAGTAGTGTTGGGAAGGCGATAGAACCAGAGGTAGAAGAGTCTTTAATGGTTCAGGCAGACAATGGGGCAGAGAGCATTTGAGGGACTTGGAGTTTATGGTCTGAGGCCTTGCTGTGTAATTGTCTTAGCTCACTTGCATATGCATCTTCTCCTTTGCTTGCAGCTATTTAAGTCCCATGTTAAAACTCTTATGGGGTGTTTGTATGCATAACAAATGTATCTCTTGGTGCAACACCAGATTAGAAATGTCACTAATGGGGAAGATGATGAGCTAGTTGTTCTCCAACTGAACAAATGTTTGGCATGATGTTAGCCATTTACATGGCAAAATAGGAGCCATTGTGTCCACTGGACTTGAACACAGCCTTTGGCTGGTCGTGCTGTACGCAACACCTAGGAGTTCTGCTCTTGAATGTGCTTTGCTCCCAAGGACAGACACATGGCTCCTAAACTGGGAGGCATGGGCTGTTGCTGGAGCAAAAAGCCTTGGCTCGTGGCAGAGGGAGCTTTTGCAGTGCCCTGGCACTTGATACTGAGGTTTCATGAACAAAACCTCCCTCCCAGACCTAAGGGAGCTGCTGTTTCACCCCTCTCGTCTCCAGTGAGTCTCCTGGTGTAGGAATGTGCCCCTTCGCCACATGAATCTCAGCACAGGAGGATTGTTGTCACTGAGGAACCAACTCTGAAATGGCTCGGCTTTGGTGTGTGATTTTTCAGCTGTGTACAGGTTCAGGGAAAGGGCTTTAGTCTTGTCATTTGGTCACTCAAGCGTGATGGATTTGGGGAGGCAGGTCGAGCATATGGCAGCACCTCCCGTGACTGGTGGGCTGCTCTTGTGGAGGAGGAGAAGCGGGACTGGCGCCAAGTCCTTCTGCCTCCTAACCTCATGGTTTTCTAGCTGGAGTCCTGAAAACCTTGGGCATAGATCCAAAGGGTGAGCTGAGCATCCTATTCCCACAGATTTTAGCAGAAGTCAGATGCCCAAAATCATTTGCATATTTGGGCTTTGGGCCTCCTAAACTTGCTATCCCTTGTTCCTTCATCTCCACAACCAACACAATGGAGGTGGGGAGCGATGCCCGACCTGGGCTGACACTGGAGAGCATCTGCTGCTACTCACAGGCTGGAACGGTCGCCATCGCAATGTCCGTAATGTTGTGGAGCTAATGGTGTGTTCATGAGCCAGCAGGTGACAATTCATACTCACTTTTATTGCATCCAGGGGTACCATATACTTCTCATTCCACTCATCAGATGCCAGAGGGGACCACTGTATAACTTCTCACTGCTCATGGGGCTTGGCAGCTTTGTAAAGCCACAGTTCACAGGCAGAGGAGCGGCTTGGTCCCAGCTCTGTTTCGGTGTCCTTTATATTGCACACTGCAGAGCATCTGGGGTAGGACATTTGGAGTTAAGACCTTTAGAGTTAGACATGTTGCCCGCTTGGCAGCTGGGCTTGCTTCTGCCACCCATGTCAAAAACCCTCTGGGAGAGTTGGTTCGTGTAGAAAAGGAGATTTAGGTCAGAGTGTTGAACATAACCATCGTTAAGACTAATTCAGGTCGATGGCCCAGTTGTTGGCATCACTGCGCCTTCAGTGGACATCTTGATAGCGGAAACATCTACCTCAGTTTTCTGCTCCTGAGCTGAAAACGCCCTTTGGATCCTTTCTCATGTGAGGACAGGAGTCGTTTGGCCTAGGTGGAGAGTGTCTATTTCTGACCAAAAGAAGGAAATAGGTATTTCTGTGTTTATTCGGCTCCCACTGCTGAGCCCGAGACTTGTGATGGAGGGACGAGACTCGGGTGGAAAATGGTGGCACATGGCCCCTCCTGCAGCTGCTTTCCCCTCCTGGTTTACAGCCTCTTCACAAAGAAATGCACCAAAGCACCCTCCTAAAAAAAATCACCCAAAAAACCCCAAACCCCCGTTCTCTGAT